GCCGGCAACTGATCTGCCTCGCCCGGGAAGAGCGCAATGATGGTGCCAACTTGGGCCAGCGAAGCAACGTCCTCCACAACTAGGCTGAAGAAAAAAAGGACAGAAACTTGTCTGTTCCCCTTCCCCCAGTTCCCCAGTGCTGTTCCCATCCCCCAATTCCCCAACTGAAAAAAAAAAAAAAAGAACAGTACTGGCTAAAAGAGAGTTTGTTATTGAAACCACTTACTTACAATCACCCCCTTGCAAAATCTAAATGTTTATGCTTTTAAAAGGAAGGTGTGAGGTTTCTGAAGTATTTTCACTAATATAAAGGGACAAAGTTACAAGCTATTTGGGGGTTTGGCTAGAAAAATAATTTCTCTTTTGCTTTTGGGAAGATATAGCCTTTTACTCTGTGTTTTTGATATCTGTGGTCTCATCACTTCTACCTCTCACCATCATTTCTAAAAAAGTATTTAACAGTAGTCTTCAGATCAGCTCCTGGAAAAGTCAACCTTGGTGCTGCTTTAGGAAATCAATATCATTCGGACACTTTTTCTCTCTCTCAAAGTAAACAGTATTTTGAAATTGCTTTTCCTTGGCGTTATCCTAAATCCTGAATAAGGCCTGACAGGGAGTATGACAGAACTCGCAAATGTTTTTCCAATTAATAAAAATGTGATTCCAAAGCTTTGCATTCTGGTAGAGTCTAAATTAAGTAATTATGTACAAATAGAAATGCAAAACACTTCAAAGCATGGCTTACAAAAACCAACATCACGGTACGTTAGTCCATGAGTTCAGGGATTGACAAAATTAATGGTGAATTTTTTTCTCCTGATAATATGTGAGTTACCCTGGGACCTATGTTTCTGTGTAAAGCAAATGCAGAACGTATTAATAATGTAAGCAGCTCTAGGGCTCCTTCACCATGGCAGCGGAGCTCTTGTCTAAAACCAGAACTACTTCCTTTATACTTTAATGGATTAGAGTTGTTTAACTTACTTTATGTAGTACTCAATCCAGTTCCACTGGCATTCGGATGCTTAATGAATATTTGATGATGGTGACTGACTGCACAAGAGATATCTCAGTGTCCACAGGAATAAAGTACTCTAAGCTATTTAATGAGTGATAAGATTATACAATCATAGGAGAGTCAAACACCAGAGCACTGTTTTAAGAAAACCCCAAATAAAAGGGAAGGGACAGGAATGAACATTATTATCTAATATGTGCTGAAGATTTATAGAACATCTCTATATACTATTTTATTTACTAAAAACCATAATCCTATGGACTAAGTGTCAGGATTCCGATTTTCCTGAATCTAAGATGTCATTGGTTGGATGGTGAGCCAATATTCTAGGTACCAATAAGAAAAACTTCAGCCAATGAAATTATGACACACCCTCTGTGAGATGCACTTGGATATCAGAGATGTCATAATGTAAAAATAACAGGCATCTCAAAAATAGTAAGATATTGATTAGAAAATTCACCGAAGTCACACAGCCAGGTAGTAGCTGTGGCCAAGATAAGCTAGCATCCACCCACACTCCCGTTCCACTTCCACAGTGTGGAGGTCCTACTGGGAGATGGCTGTCCAGCAAGGGACTACACTTTCCACCTTCCTAAGTTCTGATCGATAGAATATGAACACAACTGATGTGGTCACTTCCAGGCCAAAAAGGTAGGGGAGCACGAGTCCATTCTCCACCCTCTCTCTTATCCTATCTACCATTTATGTTGATACCCAGGACGTTAGGAACTACCTGTGAATATGGCAAAGCCTCTGTGTCAGCCTGAGTTCCTGAATGACTGCAAGGAACAGAGCGCTACCTGTACCTCCAAGCCACTGTGCAAACAGAGGTGCCACACTGGGCTTGACGGGAGCAATAAATAAACTTTGATTTTGTTAAGCCTCCGTCATTCGGGGAGAGTTTGTTACATCAACTAGAATTACTCCAAATGATATAGTGGCAGAATTAGAATTTGAATGTCAGGATCCAAAGCCAAGACTTATCCTGTGACACCATGTAAATATAAACCTCCAAACTTACCCCTTCCAAAACAAACAAACAAAAAAACCAAAACTGATGACTGATGACTTCATTTTAAGTAGGTTTCATCACTTGGTTTGAAAGAATTGGCACACATCAATAAATTTAAGAATCATATATTTCAGGGAGAAAGTCCAGAGAGGGGCAATTAAAGCTGTGCGTATATAATAGCATAGGTGGGAGGAAAAAACCAAAAACAAAGAATGAGGGAGTGATTTTTCAAAGTGGGTAAAAGTGACACAGGTATGCTTTCTTTTTTTCTCCTGTTCTAGTTTAATACAGTTTGAGTTCAGGTAAAGAAGATCCAGGCAGGTATTATAACGCTAGCCTACTAAACGGTTTAACATCTCGAGGTAAAGAGGGTCCCGTTACCTGAAAGAGCTTGAAACAAAGGGAAGGGAGAAAGGAGCAGCTTGACTGGCAATGGATGACAGGGACGGAAGGGAGGTGACAGAACATGGGAGAGGTCAACAGGGCAGTTTCTAGATTCAAGAAAAGAGTTTGAACCACGCTCCCCTATTTCTTATACTAGAGCAATCATTTAAACTCTCTAAGGGTCAACGCTGTCATCTAGGATGGTATGATAATATAATACATCTCATAGGTTGTTATGAGGATTAAATGAGAAAATACGTGCAAAAGGCACATACCATCCATGAGTGAGCACACACTGAGTGCTAGTTATTACCCTTGCTGTCATTATTAATCACTACCTTCCTTTCCTACCTAGTTGCAAATAGCCACGTGTGTTTTTAATATAAATCTCTTCTGCAGATAGTGCCGTTTCTTGGAAGAAAGTCTGCCTTCAACTGTGAAACCAACTGAGGTTAAGAGCCTACGAAGTTTCTATTTCAAATGAAAAATTAAAAAATTGTTAACATGTCTTGAGGCAATGATGAGCAATATGAAGGGACGTACGTATGGTATATGATGTTTCAATCACCAGTTTCACTTTGCTGCTTACATAAAAAATAGCACTTGTTACATTTGCCAATATTATAAAGAATAAAAAGAAAGGAAAACAGCATAAAAAAAACCCTTACCTTTTGTTTTTCATTTGAACCCTTTTTGTTGGTCTCTTTCCTACTTTCATCTTCATACACAAGAACAAAGTCAATTCTTCGGTGGCCGTCATTAAAAAAGAGGGAGTCAGCTTTTCCATTAAATTCTTCCTGTGTACAATGGAAAAACAATTTAAATATAATTTTTTGGAAAAAAAAACAAACCAATTTGTAAGTGTTTATTTTCGAGCATTAGTGGGTGCATCGATGTGTTTATAGAAAAAGAGAAATACATCCATTACTAGCTACTTGACAAAGGTTACTGTTGCCATGATCTGCACATGCATAGTCTGTTCTTGGTGAAAGGAAGTCCTTGACTTGAGCGGGTTAGCATTATTCTACAAGTGCACAGGAAAATATCAGTATTATCTACGTGACTAGTCATTCCAGAATATTCCCACCTCAAATAGCAAAAGGAGTATCAGATTTGGAAATGCACACCGTAACCAGAAATGCCTATCCACAGGACTCAAGTTCATTTAACAAGAAGAAAAATCTAAAACAAAGCACTGTTGATGAAAATGTCATCCTTCCAATGTCTTATTTTCTAATTTTTTCATCATTTTTCCTAACTTTTCTCTGGACCTCACCACTTTATAGAAGGTATCATTTTATAACCTTAAACAAATGCCAGAAGATGCTTCCATATATACAAAAGCGACAATGGTCTTAAATATTTGTTCCAAATCCACAAAAGACAACACCCTCACTCCTAGGAAGAAAAAAAAAAATAGCAAGAACAACAAAATAAATGAGCCTTTCATTTAGATCTTAAAAGCCTCATGGGTTAAAAAACAAAAATAATGGCAAAACACAAACCTAATACAATTTAAAACCATCTTTATTACTACATGGATTTGAATAGAATTGTTTTAAAAGACTTTAGTTTGTTTTCTCACACACAGCTTGTCAGGATGCTTATGTAAATTTTGTTGTTTAAGAATCAGACTGCTTTTTAACTAAGTGATATTTTTAATATTTTCAGTTTTTTAATTAAAAGCTCATGGGGAGATCACATTTTGCAGTCATTTGGTGGAACCACTTAATCATTAAATGTGATTAATTCTTCTCTGCATTCAGCATCAATTAGTACAAAAATAACCTAATTTATACCACCACTTCCTCTTTTTCTTCCCACTTCTGAGACATATTTTTTTGTTAAACATACACAAGCTGATACTTGTGATTCCTTTCCCCTTTTCCATCAGGGAGCCTGGGAAGGTTTATTAGTAGACAAAGCTCCCCCCTTTTAGCATGTTAGTCCACCTGCAGAATGCATGCTGCTGATGTGACCTAATTCAACATGCCTGCATCTCAGCCTCATTTAACCAGAGACTCAAACCACAGACAGCATGACTTTGCCTGGAGACCTTTCCTAGCCAGGGCACTGAGGGGCCAGGAAAACAGACACATCAATGTCTTGGGCTGATGCCACTATCCAACTCTTTTATTTGCAATTTCAGCTATTTAAAACCAATAAACTTTTTTTTTTTAAGATTTTTATTGGAGAATTGGGGGGATGGGAACAGTGCTGGGGAATTGGGGGAAGGGGAACAAACAAGTTGCTGTCCTTTTGTTCTTCAGTCTAGTTGTGGAGGACGTTGCTTCACTGGCCCAAGTTGGCACCATCATTGCGCTCTTCCCGGGCGAGGCAGNAATAATGGAGGAGGACCTATGTCTATCACACAAAGATGCATGTGATTCTATTACTACTGGGGGTTCAAAGTGAAGAAGGACAACCGTACCTAACCTACTCCAGAACTGATATTTTATTCATACCTCTTTTGAGAGGTTAATAAAGCTGTCAGAGAAATAAAGAATAAAGCAATCAAAATCACAAAGGACAGACTGACTTAATTAAGGAAGCTTTCTGTCCCTAAGCACCTTAGATTACACATCTCATTTGGCTTAATAAAGTCATTGTTGGGAAGGACTTGCTGGCGAATTATACCGTAATAATACCGATTGTAAACACCAATCTACCGTTTTCTGTCACCCAGGTTTTTCAGCATAAAAAGCAGGGGTTGTCCTGTCTAAGAAGTAAAATTTACTGAATACACTGCGATGATAATAAAACATAAATCAGTTGGGATTAATGAAATACATGCAGAGATTAATTTCAAATAGTCTTACAGCACTGTTAGGCATAGTACTGATGGTGCTGTGACTGTATTTTTCAATTTGTCAATCTTTGTTGAGCCTATGAAGATGGATGAGAAATAAGTCAAAGGTACTTAATTTGTACAAAACATTACTGTCTAATTACTCTAAGTGCTATTTATTAGTTACATATCATGTGCTCAAGAAGGTTTAGTAAGGAGAATAAATTATTTAATCGAGGTTTAATTTTAATTCACGTGTTGGTGATAAACCATTTCATGTGAGTGGACCTATCTGATGAAGGATTTACTCAAGAAGGTAACGTGCGTTCACTAGGGGGCAGGGAACAGATAAGCATCCTAAATGATGAGCACAGAGTGGAAGTGAATATTTAGATTAAGTTCACTTCCAACTTTCCTTTTGAAATGAACATTTTCAGTGTAATTACAAAAAATAAATAAATGGTAACTTAGGAAACAGAAATTTTCCAAGAAGGAGAAAAAAAATCACCTATAACCCACTGCTCAGATAACCACTGTAAATATTTTAGGGCAGTGTCTTTCCAAACTTGTCTGCTTATACGAACAACTTGGAACGCTATTTAAATTGAGGACAGGCCATTTAAATTGTTTAAATGCATGTTCCCGGGGTTTAAACCACTGAAATCAACTTTTATACTGTATTTCTTTAAAAAGTTATAACAAATTCGCTAACTATTTTTGTGAACTGAAATTTTCAGGAAATACTCACCAAAGACCCTAGTAGTGCTTGAGGGTGTGATACCTCTGGAAACATTCCCCCTTAATGTATAGACACAAATCTGCATCAACGGTTCACAATGTGTTAAAAAGCAGATTCTTGGGCCCCTCTCCTGGAAATTCTGACTCAGTAGGGTACAGGGTGAAGCCTG